AGCGAGCAAGCGCACAAGCAGGGGGAGCGGCCGGCAGAGGGAGAAGCAGGCTCCCCGCCGAGCAAGGAGCCCCATGCAGGACTCAATCCCAGGTCTCTGGGATCATGACCCGAGGCAAAGGCAGACGCCCAACCGACTGAGCCACTCAGGTGTCCCTGTCTCAAAGATTTTAAACAAGTAACTTATTTTCTCCATTGATTAGCAAAACTATTTCAAATCATGATATTTCTCATTGTTGGGAAACTGGCGCTCTTGCACAATGTGTCTTTAAAATGTTTCTATCCTTTGATCCGGCAACCTCACTTCTAGGAACCTATCCTAAGGACAGAATTTGAAAGCCGGGGAGAGGTGTATGTGCAAATATTAGTGGCAGCATTATTTATGATGGCAAAAATTGAAAACAACACAGAGAGGTAGCCAAGGGGACAAAGTAAAATTAATTCCTCCATTTAAAAAAATGATGATACCGAAGCCTGTGGCATCATCAGAAAGGCCACTGTGAAATATTAAATGAGGAAAAAAAACAGCTGCAAAATGTCCTGGACACTCACCAAGTTTGTAAATACATAACATCCCATTGGTGTAGGGGTAGGAATAAAGTGGGGGAAAAGAAAAAAAATTGGAGAAGTGGGAGTGCTTTTTTTCTGTTCTTTTTCTTAACTTTTTTCCCTCCCCTTTCACTTACACTGTTTACTTCTTCTTTTTCTTCTTTTCATTTTTTTCTTTTATTAGGTATTTTTCTTATATCAGTTGGCAATGTAATGCTTACTCCAGGGAAGTCAGAGAATATAAGAACATTAAAACACTCCCACTCACAAAGAAACAACCTCTAGTAACACCTTAGAGCAGTGTTCTTAAACTTGAACATGTAAACAGGATCACCTGGAAGACTTGTTAAAACCCAGATTGCTGGGCCCCACTCCAGAATTTCTGTAGGTGTGAGGCGGGACTCAAGAATTTACATTTTTTTTAAAGATTTTATTTATTTATTTGACAGAGAGAGAGAGAGAGAGACATCACAAGTCGGGGGGAGGGACAAAGGGAGAGGGAGAAGCAGGCTCCCCGCCGAGCAGGGAGCCCGATGCGGGACTCGATCCCAGGACCCTGGGATTATGACCTGAGCTGAAGGCAGACGCTTAACCAACTGAGCCACCCAGGTGCCCCAAGAATTTACATTTTAAACAAGTTCCCAGGTGATACTGATGCTACTCGTCCCCAAGCCACACTTAGAGGACCACTGCCTTAATGTATAACCTTATAAAGTCTTCCTATGTGTCACACATACAGATTCCTCACCAAAATACAATGGACATTTAGGTGGTTTGTCCAGGAGCATTCTCATATGCTAAATCTTTGGTGTATCCTTAATTATTATCTGAATAATTAAGACTGTCATAGTTATTCATTAATTATCTTAATTTTTTTTCTTAACATATATTGCATTATTTGTGTCAGAGGTACAGATCTGTGATTCAACGGTATTGTATTATACAATTCACAGCTCTCACCATAGCACATACCCTCCCCAATGTCTATCACCCAGTATCTTAATTTTTAAAATTATTCAGATGAAGTTTCCAGTTCTAGAAACAGAATCATTGGGTCAAAAGACCTGTGTGTTTTTTAAGGTTTTAATCTTGTCAAATTGCCACCATAGAATCTCATGTTTGCCATGTGCTGTGCAAATGTGTCATCTCATTTAATCGTCACAATTTATTCATTCATTCAGCATATATTCATTGAATGCTACTTTTTTTTTTTAAGTGGTCTCCATGCTCAGCTTGAAGCCCAAAGCCAGGCTTGAACTCGTGACCCGATCAAGACCTGAGCTGAGATCAAGAGTCAGACACCTAGCTGACTGAGCCACCCAGGCACCCCTCACTGAATGCTGCTTTGTGCCAGGTACTTTAGGGACTCAGGAGTGAGCAAGGTGGAGCAACTCTATGAGGTAGATACTATTGTTATTCCCGTTATATAGCTGAGGAAACAGAGATCCACGCGCTGACTTGCCTAAGAAGACTCAGCGAGTAGAGTAGCGTATCCTGGGGCTGGCTGCTTCAATCATTTGCACAAAGAAAGTCACTGCCTGCTCCAGGAGGCCTCATGCTGCATTGTTCCACAGCAAAGGGAAGATTTTAATTTTGGGTGGCAACTCTTTTCCCTCTTTTTTTTTTTTTTTTTCATCACGATCCTGGAAAAGTCAGATGAGGAAACATCCTGGCATACAGCATTTGGAAATAAAACTCATCCATAAAGCTGCCAGGAATAAAAGCTAGCCAAACTTTCTCAACTGAGTTTGATTTCCCACTCTTAAGAAATTAGGCAGAACTGGCCCCATTTGATCCCAAAGTTAGACTTGTTAGAAAAACCTCTAACATAGATGTGTATGGACATGTAGCAATTCAGTCAAATCTTGTTTTTCACTTTCCTAAATTAACTAATTAAACTGTGGGCTGTGTATCTCATAGGGTTAAATGCAAAAGCTTGTAAGTCAAACAGATTTGACAAAACAGAAGGTTTTACAATAAATTATTATAACCCTGGAAGCTTCAGTTTCCTTGTTTGCAAAATGGGGCTAAGAATACTTTCTTGATAGGTCTCATATAAGACCTAAATGATTCAGGGGTAGTGGTCACCATCTATCTCCCTTTTAATCCACTAATCTGCCTTCTTGCAAAAACCAAACAGTAACCCACACTGCAGTTGCTGTGTTGGATGAGGCAGCTTTGCTAGGCAGAGTAACATAGCTTGAAGTTCATGGTATCCAACCGTTGATTGGCTTATACATTCTTTTTCATCCCTAACAGGAAAAAGGTCCAGAAACAGTCCACTCTTAATGTAGAGCAGACAATGATGCACATTTATGATCTACCTCAAGGCTGTGTTCTCTCTCCTGCTCTCTTTCGTAATAAAGGCTGAAGGGACTGGACCATCAGACATTCTGCAAAACATCACATTGTTCCACTCTATTAGTGAAATAGTGTTTATAGGACTGTATGCATATGACCTGTCTCTGGAGAGCAGGAGATAAACCCTGTAAGAATTCAAGGACTCTAGAGGATAGGCAATTCCCCCCATTAAGTGTCAGGGACTCACCACATCGGTGTAGTTTTGGGGGAGTGGTCTGGGGCCCGCTGGGACAGTCCCTGCAAAGTAAAGAATACGTGATTGCATCTTGTACCTCCTTCCCTCCAGAAGGAAACACAATACCTGGTAGGCTTCTGCAGGCTGGAGTCAGCATATTTTATACTTGAGAATAGGAATCCAACCTACTTTCTGAATGGTGTGGAAGGCTGTCATTTTTTGAGCAGGTCCTGGCCAGAAACGAGCTCTGCAGTAGATCCAGGCTGGACTGCAGGCTTCTTTGCCTCCAGGGCCACATGGCCCGGAAGACCTTATTGTCCTCAATGTCTCTGTGGTGGGAAAAGGTACCACGTGTCTATGGCAAGCCCAGTGAAGTCAACACAATCTAGACCCCTAGCGCTCTGGAGCAAGGCCAATCAATCTGCAACAGAGAATCATCGCCATGTGAGAAACTCCTCCTGGGGTGGGTACTGGTAGAGATGGAGCTGAAAATGGAGGACAGCTAGAGTAGAGCGTCACCCAGAAGTGACCTTTAAAGACAAGAATGAGGTGGACTCTTACCAATGGGCTGGGCTTTGGGCAGTGTACTTGGGCATCCACTCTGTGGACAAGAGAAGTAGCGAGAGGGAAGAATAAATACAGACTGTGGGCAGTGGCAAAAACAGGCAGGATAAATATTGAAAGACTGGGGACAAGGTGATCTGGGAAAGAAGGTTGTGTGTGGACCCACGGGAACGGGCACAAAGTGTGAAGATCTTGCATCATATGTTGATATCCACCAGAGAGCATCTATCATGGAAGACGTACTAAACAACCAAGCAGGCCAGAGTGACTCACCCAGGTCATCAGTCAGTCTCTGCCATCCCAGCTTTGGCATAATAGACTCATAATGAAGACGCCATATGGCAGGAATAGAGGTTCCACGTTCACTAAGAATGATCTAGCTACTACCGCTGCTGACTGTCCACTTTTCCAGCAGCAAAGAGCAACATGGAGCCATCAACGTGGTACCATCCATCGAAGAACCCCACCAGCCACTTGGTGGCAAGTTAATTAAATTGGACCTCTTCTACCTGGAAGAAGAAGCAATTCATCTTGACTGGGACACATCTTCCTAGTATGGGTTTACCTTTCCTGGCTCCTGGGTCTCAGCCAATCTAAAGACTTGCAGAGTGTTTGATCTATTAATGTTTGGTCTCAGATAACATCACATTAGACCAAAGGACTCCCTTTATAGAAAAGGAGGTACAGTGGTGGGCATACGATCATGGAATCCACCGGACTTATGATACCACATTGCCCAGAAGCTGCTGGCCTTTGGAGGACTTTGGACTTTGGAGGATTTGGGTGCTGAAACCTACATCCAAGCCAGTCAAATTGGAGCTCAAGAAAAGAACAGGTTTTCGGTCTCTCCCAGTCCCAGCCCCAAGGAGTATCTCATTTCTATCCCACAGACTCCTAAGAAGCAGATTCTTTAATTCTTAATTTTTTCTGACTTGTGTTCTTTCTCTCTTGCTCATATGCAATAAATTCTGCCTAAAAGCCATTGTACCATCATGCTCTCTTGAGTACCACTGCCATGAGCTGCTTCCCACAGGCCCCTGGCCTGCCTGGAGGCTTTCTTGGTCAATAGCTGGCAAGGTTCCAGTCCTGTTGGGCCAAAGGCTCTGTCATTCCTTCCCTTTCCCAAACATCTGAGCAGACCCACGACTCCAGCTTTCTAGAGTCATAGGCAAGGAATCTTGGTAGGAGGTAGGCTCAGATTCAATTTCTGTTCTTTTCCCAGATGCGTTTAGCTCTTGCCAATCTAACAATCTCTAGAAAACTCTATTTTATGCCCAGAAGTTGGGATGAGCAGAATCCTGAGGAATCATAAGGTTCCTCTCGGTAACGACCACTTGCCTATTGTCTTCCAGCTGGATCTGGCAAGGGATCTACAGGTGGTGATGATACCATGTTAGAGGGGCCTGAGGTCACCTTAAAGCGGGTTCTAAAGCCCCTCCGCCTCTGGCTGGCCTGACTTGTCCTCTGCTAAGACCATGTTCTCACAGGCAACAAGGGGGTGAGGGAAGCAGTCCAGGACCTGAAAACCTTCCCCCTCTTCACCCGGCTCCCGCTGTCCTGCAGATGCTGTTGTGATCACAGTTTGTATATGAAAGAATTTTATATTTGAAATGTTTGGTAGGCCTAAAAATAAAAAGTACTTTAGCTAGAAAAAAAAAAGATGCAACTGAGGCACGAATTTGGAAATGATACTCTGCAAGGAAAGTTACGCTGCAAGGAGGCAGCATTCACCCTAGACCAACACCATGGTTGGGTGCAGTCTATGAGCAGAATAAATGGATTCCCATTTATTCCCTAATTCCCAAATTAGGGGGTGGAAATAAGAGTGATTCCTCTCACCATACTCCCCATGAGCCACTGGGAGAATTTGGGCTTCCCATCCTCACAACTCTGGGCTCTGTAGGTTCTGGTTCCTGGGGGTGGTGGGGGTGGTGGGCAGGGGTGCTTCCGCCAGGAGACACAAGAGTCCCATTGGACTTTAAGCTATAGCTGCTACCTGATCATTTCAGGCTCCTGGTGCCAAGGCAAGAAGAGGAGTCACCCTCCCGGCAAGTGAATTGACTGCAACATCAGGCAGAAACAGAGCTGTTGTTACACAGAGGACAGAAAGAAATACATCTGATGCTCCAGGTGACCCACTTGTGTATTTCTCGATGGTAAATAGACAGATGGTAAATACACAGATGCAGCAACCATGACTAAGATGAGCATGGTGACAAAGGTCTCAGACCCCTTAGAGATGAAGGTCTGGGTCATCAGGCTAGGGAAGCCCCTTAGACCAGCAGAGGTCTGAGCTGAGGGTTAGGGAGTCTAGAACGGGAGAGAGATAACAAGTATACCAGCTGTAGCATGAGAGCTGTAGTTTATTCCACTAACCCGCTAAAGTGTCCCCAGAAAAAGAGAAGGATCAGAATGCTGGAGGAGTCGTTCTCAGATGGTGTTAATTTATTTTACAAAGCAAGGGATCCAAATGATACAGAATTGTGGTGAATGTGGTGGTGCCCACATCTCCTCTTCAGAAGCCACAGGGGCACTCTCAGCTGCCAGGAGTCTTGCCTTTACAAGGGCTGCCTTGTCCAAGGTTATGGTCCCTCTTTGGAGAAAGCCCCAGCCAGTGACTGGCCAATGTAGGGGTACAAAGCCCTGGCCCCCTTCCATCAATTCAGGACATCTATAAAGAGCCATCCCATTTTCAGAGCTCCCAGTACCTGAGGTCTCTGTTATAACTCCCTTGCAGTTCATTTCCCTGCGTGAAGTTCTGCTGTCCTCACCCCCTTGCAAGTGTTGATACCGGGAGAGCGCGCCATTAAATCTCTTGCAGGCAAACCTCCTCCTCCGAGTCTGTTTCCCGGGGAACCTGGCCCAGCCCACTGTGCACATCCTCAACCACACGAGTTAATGTCAAACCATTCCCAAGATGGTTGTACCAACTTACATTCCTCCCAACAATGCATGAGAGTTCTATTGGCTCAACATCCTCGCCAAATCCTGGTATTGTTAGACTTTTTATTTTTAGCCAATCTGGTGGGTGTGAAATGGAATCTCATTGTGGTTCGAATTTACATTTCCCTGATGACTAATGAGGTTGGGCCCCTCATGGGTTTACTGGCCACTTGGGTTTACTCTTAGGGAACAGCCCCAGCTCCCTTGCCAGTTCCAGTTCCACAGACCCACTCACGTAATGCTGTCTAATAAGGGAGTGAGGCCACCAATCTCAGTGAAGCCCTCTGCCCTCTTCTGACTTGACATCTGAGCAGTGTGACATTTGGTCACCACTTTGTCCACCCATCACCCTCTTTTCTTGGCTTCCTTGACATTGCACTGTGCTCATTTTCCCCTCCCTCACTGGCTGCCCCTTGTCTGTCTCCTTGGCAGGCAGAGGCATGACTGTTGTGTGTTTGGGGTCCTCAGGGCATAGTCCGTGCTCTTGTCTCATCCCGCTCCGACCCCCTCTGCAGGCACGCTCACACAAACCCTCAGCTGCAGTTACCATCATCATACACCGAGGATTCCCACATTCCTCTCTGTGGACACCTCCACGTGAATGTCTCAAAGCCTTTCCACTTCCATCTACACAAAATAGAAACCGTGACTTTTCCTCCCAAACCTAGTTGTTGGCCAGGTGTTCCTGCTTCAGTAAAGGTGCCACAATCCTCCTGATTCTAAACATCAAACACCCAGGAAGCCCCCCTCTTTCCCCCTATTCAAGTCATCATGTTCAAAATTGGTTATCTTCAGTTTACCCCTCCAGATCCACTCTCCGTCCTTCTGCATTCTACTCTCTGCCTCAGGAAGTTGATTATACGGCCACCATGAAAGGCCTTCCTTGTTCTTTAGTTTCTGATTAGGTTGGGCCAATGGCGTTTTAGTTATTGGGGTGTAACAAGCTACCTCACAACTAGGCAGCTTAAAAATACCACTACTTTGTTGTCTCTCATGATTCTGTGGGTTGACTGGGGTCATCTGGGGTCAGTTCTGCTCCACCTGATGTCCGCAGTGTGGCTGTCCCTTGGGGACTCAATTCTGCTGGAACATCCAAGATGGTACTCTCAGGTCTGGCCAGCTGGTGGGGATGGCGAGAAGTCTGGACTGAGCAGAAATAGGAAGGCTGAAGCTCTCTTTTTCCAAGTCATTTCAGGCCTCTCCCTCTTCCTAAGGCCTCTCCCTGTGGTCTTTCCAACACAAGGTAGACAGACTTCTAATAAGGCAGCTCAGGGTTTCCCAGCCTGCAAAAGTTGAAACTACCAGGCCCTCTTAATCCATAGGCCCAGAGCCAACACAGTATCACTTCTGCTGCCTTCTGTTGGTTAAAGTAGGTCACAGGACCAGCCCAGATACAACACGGGAGGGAGTACACAAAGGCATGAACATCAGGAAGCATGATTCATCAGGGGCCATCCTTAGAGACTAGCCACCCTAGTCTACTATCTGGTCCCCAAGGTCTCTCTAGCGTGCAAAATAGCATGCAAAAATAGTCATGCCTCTGCCTGCCTCAGTCCTCCTTCCCATAATCCCCAAAATCTTAATCCATTACAGCTTCAGGCTCAGGCCTGAAGTCCAGTTTTTCATCAACTAAATTTCATCATTGTTGAGGAAGCATTTGGGCGTGGTTTCTCCTGAGGACCCGTGGACTAAAGGAAGAAGTTATCTGCCCCCACATACTCAACTTATAATGAGACAGGAACTGAGCATCACAACGTACACTCCCATTCAAAAAGGGGAAACACTGGGGTGCCTGGGTAGCTCGGTCGATTGAGTGTCTGCCTTCAGCTCGGGTCGTGATCCCAGGGCTCTGGAATCGAGTCCTGTGTCGAGCTTTCCTGCTCAGCAGGGAGTCTGCTTCTGCTTCTCCCTCTCCCTCTGCCCTTCCCCCTGCTCATGCACTCTTTCTCAAATAGATGAATAAAATCTTAAAAAAAGGTGGGGGGACACAGAGGAGTCATAGGTCCATCGCAATTATGAAATTCCTCTGAGTACAATTCCCTTTCCTCCAGGGGTAGGAAATGTGTGCTAAGGCTCAGGCCTCCTCCCTGGGATTGGTTCTATAGGAACATCTTATTTTATCGCACTTTATTGCACTTAGCAAATATTGCGTTTTTTACAAATTGAAGCTTCAAGACTTCTATGGAGGGAGTCACTGCAGATGCAGTGAAAATAGCAAGAGAACCAGATCAGAAGTGGAGCCTGAAGACATGACTGAATTGCTGTGATCTCATGATCAAACTTGAACAGATGAGCAAAGAACGTGGTTTCTGAGATGGAATCTACTCTTGGTGGAGATGTTGTGAAGACTGTTGAAATGACAACAAAGGATCTAGAATATGACGAACTCAGTTGATAAAGCAGTGTGGGGTTTGAGAGGATAGAGTCCAATTTTGAAAGAAGTTCTACTGTGGGTAGAAAGCTATCAAACAGCTTCCCAGGCTACAGAGAAATTGTTTGTGAAAGGAAGAGTCAATCAATGCGGCAACTTTTACTGTCTTATTTTGAGAAACTGCTACAGCCACCCCAGCCTTCAGCAACCAGCACCGTGATCTGTCAGCAGCCAACAACATCGAGGCAACACCCTCCACCAGCAAAAAGATTACAACTTGCTGAAAGCTCAGATGACGGTTAGAATTTTTTAGCAACAAAACCTTCTTTAATTAATGTACCTTTTTTAGATATAGTGCTACTACACACTTAATACTACTGTAGAGTATAAACATAACTTTCATGTGCACTGGGAAACCAAAAAATGCACTTGACTCACGTTATTGAGGTACTCATTTTACTGAGGTGGTCTAGAACACAATCCACAATACCTCCGACGTGTGCTTGTATGTGGCTCTTGGCTCCACCCTCTGAGTCATCCTTCTTTTCCACAGGAAACGCCCCATGTTGGCCTGTTTCCTTGCCCTTAGGATGTTGGGGTCACAAAGGCTATTTTTGGTTTATGATGTCTCTGTTCTTTTCAGTCCCAGTTAGTAAAATAAAAAAATGTGTGATTTCCTATGTATCAAATCATCTACTCCATTAGACAAAAGCCAGACTTCCATTTCATTCCGAAACAGGCCCCCTTCTACTTTGGGCCATAGGCAAGCTGCTAAGGGACAATGGCTTCAGAGATTCTCAGAAGTCATTTGTCTAGCTGAGAGGATCTACCTGATATATCCTTGAATCCAGCTAAAGTCCCGGCACAGGGTTGTGTGGCGGCATGCTTGATCTAACCTTGACCCTGAGGCCACAGTTTACTGGCAGCACCCTAGATTGGATTTTTTTAAGATTTTCTTATTTATTTATTTATTTATTTATTTATTTATTATTTGAGAGAGAGCATGTGAGCGCTAGCCCACAAACAGGGGGAAGAGGAGAAGGGAAGGAGCAGAGGGGGAGGGGGAGGGAGAGCGAGATAATCTCCCGCAGATTCAGCGCTGAGCACAGAGCCCAATGTGAGACTCAGTCCAATGACCCTGA